TACAAGAGAAACAGGATTCCTGAAAGGAGAAACAAGGAGGAGTTAGAATCTTATCTCAACAGAGATAACCAAGATTCTCAGGTGTTTGCTAGGCTCAGGTGCTAACCAAACTGGATCAACACTGCGGCGTTGAGGCAACGTCTGAAGGCAGGTTATATACTGGAGGATCCTCTGATGACGAGATGCGCCTCAGGTGTGTAGGAGGCTCAGCTCAGGAGGATCCACAGCGCACTCTGCTGGAGAAAGGTGGTACAGCTCCAGATCCCAACAGACAGGGTCTTATGACAATATTTTTAAATTTTTCACTTCATGTCATTAATTTGAATTTCAGTAATGACTGCTTACAGTTTTATGTTGGAAAAAAGATAAATTATGAGATGTAACCCCTTGAAATTATGAGATGTGAAAAAACTTGAGAAAGTTTCACATTTGAGCAGTGAAATCAAATTATTCTATAAAGAGACCCTTGGATTTTTGGAACGCTCTGCAAAATCATCTATAGATAAAATGCATTTTATTGGATAAACCTTTAGGAATCGAACCTGTGTTATAAAGATTTACCTTGGAGGACTTAAGAGAGACTATAGCGGTGCTAGGTTGACTGGACGCAGAGTGTTGATGATGCAGGGTGCTGACTCTGCTGGCTTGGAACTCGTTCATAACTCCTTGCAGTTCTAATATTTATTATTGTTAATATAATATATATAAATATTTTAACTTCAACTCCATGGCTAAGTACTTATTTCTTCCTCTTTTATAGGGGTCATCTGCTGGTAGTGGACACATTTTCCCCATTTAAACAGGGCATCCCTAACAGCTTTACACCTGTCAAACATTTCTCTTTCATTTCTGTAAATCACCTGCAATACAACAATTAATTGCCCCTTGTTGATTGATAGTCCCTTTTTTGATGGATCACTAAAAATCTATAGGTAAAAGTAGAGAACAGTATGTATATTAGGGAATTAAAATGTATTCACAACTTAAATTGCATTTAGAAGCAAAAAGATGCATAAGAAATTGCATTACAGGAAGGAAAATTTATTCAGGAGCAAAAAAGAGCCATGACAGAATGTAAAAGTTTACATTTCAAAGTTATAATGACTAGATATTAAAACAAAGAGAATTACTATCATTTCCAGACACAGATGGCTTTTTTACATGTGCACATGAAACACATGCAATACATTTTTGGTTATATAACCAAGATGTTTACTGATGGGTTATGTCTTTATTTTTCTGTCATTCAGGATTTACTTGTCACTCTGACCCAAAACAGTGTGTCCAGAGAGCTTGACTCCTACAGTGAGGTGTGTGAAGCACTTAAGGTTGTTGACTTGCTTCTGGGATTCCTATCATTGACTGGTGGTGATCCCAGGATGCCAGTGGTTACTTACCTTAAGGACAAATTAAAGATGGGCCAGAGCATTGATGAACACATACAAAAAGTAAGTAGATCCAGAGAAGACAGACAAATAGCTGTTTTGGGGTCTGGGTCATATTTAAGACTAAGCTGTGAATTGAGTTTAGGTTTGGGTTAGGGTTAAGTATGAACCCGTAATGGTTACATTTAGTTTAATTGTCATGGTTACACTGTAGAAATGAATGGGAGTCAATGGAAAGACCATTGTGTGTGTGTGTGTGTGTGTGTGTGTGTGTGTGTGTGTGTGTGTGTGTGTGTGTGTGTGTGTGTGTTTGTTTATGTTGCCTATTATAGGACCATTTTTGGTATGATTACTTACCTTTTGAGGACCAACAGGCCTTATGGGGATAGAAGGCTGGTCCTGATGTGGCATATCCCCATTTTTAACCTTTGAGAGTCAGTTTAGAGGTATGATGTGAATTAACCTTCGGTTAAGATTAGGAATATACTGATAATGGTTAGCGTAAATGTCGGGGTTAGGCATAAATGCAGTTGCTAAAATGAATAAAAGTCAATGTAAGTCTTTATGTGGACAGAAAATACAGACGTTTGTGTGTGTATGTTCAGTGTTTCTTACGATGTCTGGACCATTTTCCATAAGTCATTGCACATGGTGGGGACCAAATGCTCTAGTGGGGACCAGTGCCTTGACTCCATTGATACAAATGGTGTTTTAGGGTTAGGTTTAGGACTAATGTTTGAATATAGTAAGGTATGAAACCTTAATGGTTAGGTTTAGTGTAAGGGTTAAAGATAGGCTGTAGAAATAGGTTAGAAGTGAATTGAAGTCAATGGTAAGTTCCCACAAGTAAAGAAAAACATGATTGTGTGTGTATATATCTATATATCTATATATCTATATATCTATATAGATAGATAGATAG